ACCTACACCTTGATCTACATGACAGAGAAAATGTATAGTTTTTATTCTGTGTGAACTCGCATGTGAATGTGTTAACTCATTAAATTAACCATGTTTTTACTATAGTAACTAGTTTAACTATGGTATTTGCGGTAAAATCACAGTATCCACAAATTTACTCTTCTCTCACTATAGTAACCATAATTATGCTATTTGTAGTAAAACTACAGTAACCACAAATTTAACATAGTTTCATTATAGTAACTATAGTTTAATATTTGTAGTTAAACTATGGCAATACAAATGGTAGGCTAATATATCAGTCAAAAATGGCTGCTATTACCATTTATAAAATACCTTACTACTCAGGCCTACTGGTAAATTGTTGCTAAAAACTGGTCAAGGAAGTACATAAATCTGAACATTATTTTATTGTCAAAACACTGCACATAAATATTTTTTTTTTTTTTTGCAAATAAATGATCAATAAGTAGGTTAAATGATCACAGGTCAAAATGTTTTACTTCACCTTTTTACAACTTTGGAATCTAAACTGGGAATCGATAAGAATTGAAATCAATAAGCAGAATCAGAATGGATCAAATGAAAACAATACCAAACCCTAGCCACATGTTGTGACGTTCACTGATTTATGAGCATTTTATGAACACTGATCAGTTGATGGCAAAATTCAAAAAGACGGTTCTTTGGCGCAACTTGCACACCCATGGCCATACTGATAGAGTATGTTCCGGTATTCTGAAAAGACTAAAGATTTGTTTTCTTTTCAATGTTTGCTTGGTTTGCCTAAAATGAACCATATCATAGCCTTCAATATCTCTTTGAAAAATAACTTTGTAACTTTTAAACAAGTATTAAAATGAGTTCAATGTAGCTGTAGGAGTGTTAAATAAAAAATAAAGTTGATTATCTTCATTCAGTTGTTCCATTTATATAGGTTTGGTAACATAAAAGCTCTTAATTCCAAAGATAATACAAGCTAATCAGTGTATTCAGTAGGTTGCATTAGTGGCATAAGGTATTGTAAGTATACAACAATGTGACAATAAAACAATGCATTTACTTTTTAAGTACTTTTAAAAGCATGTACTTTCGTTCTTTACAACTTTCACTTGTAAGGCAAGGCAAGGCAAGTTTATTTATAAAGCACATTTCATACACAATGGTAATTCAAAGTGCTTTACATAAAAGAAAAGAACCAGTGTAAGGACCTGAGGACTGGTGTGATATGCTCAGATTTTCTAGTAGAATTCTGGCAGCAGTGTTCTGTTGTAGTAGAGTAGTATTTGACCAGTAGTATCTGTACTTTCACTCAAGTAATGAAGTTGTGTACTTTGTCCGCCTCTGGTCATTTGTGATTACTGAACAATGGTTTTTAGAAATGGGATTTTCAATACTGGTTTTAGACATTTCACAACATTTTATAGGCTTAGAAATCACTTTTAACTTTCCCTGACTGTGCAAAGCCTTTGCTAGACATGCTGTGAGTGTTAGTGTTTCTGCAGAATTTCTGCAGCACTTTGTAGGATTAAAGCATCTGCTATGAATAAATATAATGACAAATCTGCTACTTCATTTCAGCCCTTCACTTTCGTATATGAAACAAGATGTAGATTTACACAAAAAATAAAATGTAGCTAGGGCTCTGCAAATTTGTTGCTTTCTCAAAAACACATACTTACGTGCAAATCTCGCCAGTGGCCTGCTGTTGGTCTCACCATCCTCATTAGCCACTACAGAGAAAAACAGAGAGACAGAGTTATATGGTGGCATTTCTCTCTCTGGGTGTGTGTGTGTGTGTGTGTGTGTGTGTGTGTCTCTAAAAACATAAAATAGCTTATTCTGAATGCTTTTTTCAGAGGCTTAGTAAAATACATAATTAAAAAGCTTTTTTTTGCTCCTATTAATGTGTCTTTTTGTATAATGTGAATATAATGAACCGAGCTGCTGGAAAAGCGTGAAAGGCTGCTTTAATATGACTTCAGCTGCTGTTATATGAGCCTTTCATTAGGATTTGAAATGGGTCTTGGTCAGTAGGGGACTGGAGGGGTGTTGTTAGTGTACTGTGAGTCACTTCTAGTAAAAAATAACACAAGAACAAGCACAAAAAGGGCAGAGAAAATGAGCATGCTTCCCAATAAAGTATTTTGTGATGCAGAGACAGGGCAAACAGACTTAATTTCTATATCATTTCTATTGACAGACTACATTTTCTGACGGCACCATGATACTAGGCTGTTGTGGGTGTCTTTTGCACGTTGCTATGCGGTTGCTAGGGTGTTCTGGGAGGATACTTGGTGATTTCAGGTCAAAGGAGCCTCTCTTTGATCTTTTTTGGACTCTAGATGTGACTCTGGTCTCTTCTTCCATGTCAGCCTAAGAGATTTTTTGCCGTTGTTTTATCATCCACAAGATGAAAATCATAAACCCAACCAAACCATGCAATTTGATTTCTATCATTCATGGATTGAACTGTGTGGGATGAGTTGCAAGGCAAAGTTGAACACTTCGGGTCATTAAATACAGCAGGGGTCTCCAAACTCAGTCCTGGAGGGCCGGTGTCCTGCAGAGTTTAGCATTAACTTGCCTCAACACACCTGCCTGGAAGTTTCTAGTATGCCTAGTAAGAGCTTGATAAGCTGGTTCAGGTGTATTTAATTAGGATTGGAGCTAAACTCTACAGGACACCGGCCCTCCAGGACTGAGTTTGGAGACCCCTGGAATATAGTGTTGTAATTGTTAGCTAAAACTAAAACTATTAAAAATATTTTTCTGTAATTGGTATAAAGGTATATAATATATTAGATAAATAAACTTTCAGTTTCAGTTAGTTGCCAAATGATTTTTTTTTAGGTTATTCATCTAATATTTCAGTCATTCTTGAGACGTGGGACAAAACAGGTCCAGCAATGGTAACTGCTATTAGCTTTAAAAAATAATGTAATCTGTCTGCTAACACGAGAATGTGTTTTGAAATGTTAAAATGTTGTCTTGAATGCTGTTAAAGATAAAGTTGAAATTATATTACACAGTCCAAGGTAAAAAAGCGCATTTTGTTAAAAAAGAGAAAAGTTGGGAGGTTGAACCAAAGCATAGCTCAGTAGCTTAGTACATATAAGATACATAAATGTAGTTTCATTTGTCTGAGTACAAGGTCTTATTTTTTCAATTTTGCACCCTGTTTTGTCCCACTTCTCAAGAATGACTGATTTATATTAATTTCCATTTAATTATAAGTTTTAGCAATTTTGTTGTGTTTTGTCATTTTTATTAGTTTTTGTTTTTAGATTGTTATTTTAGTACTTCAACTTAAACTAAATGGAAAGAAGAAATGTTACCTTGGTCAACCAGCTGAAATCAAATATATTTAAGTTGTATATATGTATATGTACATACATATATATATATATATATATAACACTATTTTTATGTTGTGAAAATTAGAAATAAACTTGTTTCCTTAGTAGTTATTCATCTAATATTTAAATTTTAATAGATTTAGATTTTTTAGATTTTAAGTTGATATTTTTTTATGCATATTTTATTGTTAAAATACTAAGATGACTAAAAACAGAAATTAAAAAATAAAGTAGAAATATATAAATATAAAATAAAATAAAAACATTTAACAACTAATAAACATGACAAAAGCACATAAAATTACTAAAACTAAAGTTCAAATGAAAACTGAAAATATACAAATATGAAAAAGCTAATTCAAAATATAAATAATAATACTAAAATAATGCTGACTTGGGGTTAGTGACTTGAATAAAAGTCTAACCCCAAGTATAAGCAATAGTGTAATGCATGCATTTGCATCTTATTACACTAACAAGAGTTCAGTCGGTGCATTACTGAGTCGGTGTAAATCTAGTCAGTGCACAGGCAAGTTCAGAGTTCAAGAGGTCCTTTAGCTGGTTTGTGAGAGCTGCTTCTGTGCATTAAATGTAAATTGCATTAGCAGTTAGAGTCAGGAAAACAAAACCAGTCGATGAGATCTCATTTCGAGTGCACATTGTTCGAGCTAGGAAAAATCATAACATGCATTAGTGAAGTAAAACGCCATACGGCCCCCATTAAGAGTCATGACATTTTGTATCGAGACCAAAACACACACGCACGCTATGTTTCTCCAGCACGCAACCCATTAAAAGCCCCCAGAGTGACACTGAGAGTGGAGAGGAAGTGGTCACGCTGCTTTAGCCAATCATCATTAAGTTAACAGGGGCTCGTTGTCATGCTCCACTAGACCTGATTGACAACACGTCACACGTAATGAGCTCAAAGCACAATGAGCAATTGATTGCTGCAGGGCTGCGTAACCATGACGACAGTCAGATGTTTGAAAATGCCATAAAGCCTTATCATGAAATGTGGAGATTCCCTGCCGCGATCTTGTACGATGATCAACTAGTTTATCAACAGTATTAAAAGTGCACTATAGTTAGATAAACATATTAAAGTAAGGACCATATTAAAATGTCCTTCTATAAATGCACCAGGACAGACAGTAAAAAGCATCTCACACCTGTAATGTTTCCATCATAACACCTTTCCTGACCACTGTCCTCCCATGTGGGTGTGTGTTTCTCAGAAACAAATGGCTGATAAACAGGCCGGCATGTCTAAGTATGGAAAAGTCAGAGGTTCATTATCTCAAAATAAACCTGAACAAGGTGATCAGGATCCAGACACGAAGCATTTATTTTGAGATAATGAGCACCTCATGGACATGAAATATTGATTTGAGATGAAATAATGTTATTATGTGAGAAGGAAGACATGAAACTAGCACAGCTATGCTGGAGACTAGTTGCCTGTGTCAACGGCTATTGTATGGTTTACTGATTATTAAACAAAAATATCTGACCACAAAGTGACCAATCAGAATTGAGTATTCTAATAATCTGTCAAATTTGATTTTTGATATTATTATATGGGTCAAACTGTGCGGGATGAGTTGAAAGGCAATGTTAAATACTTGTGTTGTTATCATTAAGTAAAACTATTACAAATCGTTTTATGTAACTGAAATAAAGCTGAAGCAAAATAAAATACAAACATAAAACATAAACAGACTAATAATTTAAAATAAAAAACTGGCTACTGGCAACTAACGTAATTAGGTTTAAGTTAAAGTGAAATAAAACTGAAATAAAAACAAATTAGATCTAAACAGAAATATATTTTTAAAAATAAATTATATGGTTTAGTGATTTTTACACAAATATCTGATTGTGTTTGACCAATCAGAATCAAGTATTCAATAGGCTACGTAATAATAGATGATGGATCCCTATATCCTTGCAAGAATCACTTTTAGATGAATCTTCAATATCTCTGTTGTTTCTTCTAATCAGCAATGAGATTAAATGGAGAACAAACTGAGACTTTTGCTCAAGCTTCTTGCTTTTCAGACTTTCACTTAAAATGACAACAAAAACTTGCCTTGACAACTAACTGAAATAAGTTTAAGTTTAAGCACTAAAATTACTGAAAAAACTGAAATAAACTGAAAAAATATATAAAATAAACTCACTGAAATTAAAATAAATATAAATAAAAAGTAATAAAAATACACACAATTTAAAACATTACAAAAAAAAGAATACTGAAAATATAAAAAGCTGTGTTAGAAATTTGAATAATAGTCTAATCACAAGTATAATCAATAGTACCAGTAATGCATGGATTTGCATCTTTTTTTATTTTTTACATCAACAAGATAACGTACAGTTCAGTGTTTTCAAACGTGCACTGGCTCAAACTGTTCTCCAAGGAAATTATTGAAATTATTCCATAGATTTATAATTCACATTTATTTTAGACCTCTGTATGTACTGTAGAAACATCAGAAAATAAGCTGATACTTAAATGAGAATTCATTAAATCTTACATGCCATGCAAGAACAATACAGTTTCATCTGAGTAGGTTTGTGCATGTGTTTGATTGTGTATTGCATGCGTGTGT